ATCACTACTATTTTGAAACAGCTTGAAATACTGTCGTGTTCACACTGAAACAATACTTTGAAGAATATTATCAGACATGACTAAAAGACTATTTAAGAAATGAGTAAAGATTGTTTGCTGGTGGGTAGATGTAGTACCAATAGATTGCAAAAAACACAGGCGTGTACTTTACTTCCTGCATCCTCTGTGTGATTGACTTGCGAAAAGTATTTGTAGGGCTGTGCCTGCCTTGTGAATCTGTATGTTGTTCAGAATTGAGGAAATAGATCAATACCTCATTATCTCCTCTGTTCTTCTTACTGACAATACTTTGCTCAAGAACACACCCCATTTATTTGGCAGTGCCACTGGCTGCACAACAATATCAGATTGATGTGGATGGGTGAGCAGAGCTTTGGCAATAAGGATAATAGGATAGATCACAAGGTAAAAATTGGACTTTTGAAGTAAATGCAATAATTAGAGACTTTGTCAGAGAGTGTGTTCTTGGTAGTTCAAACCCTAGACTGTGTACAAAAATAGAGAATGCATCTTCACTTCCTCCCACTGTATAAAATATGAGCACTGCCATCTTGTGACATCATTTGGAGACAGAGTCTGCACAGTAATGATCGAGGTTGGAGCCGTGGTATCGAGATCCCACTCACACACCCAGCCGACTCAACTACCAGCAGGTCCAAGCTGTCAGTCATGACATGAAGCTCCCTTTTTATAGCATCAAATAACTTATTTAAACTGAACAAATGAACATGTTCTTATTAGGTATCAGCACACTAAGAGCTACCTAAAATGAAAGAAACCATCTTTGGAACAAATTTATTATTCAGGTGTTTTGACTTCACTTTTGGAGAGCTCTTTACATACACTCAAAAGTTTAGAATTGAACATTTGCTTAAACCCCTCCTGTACTGCAATTGTCCAATGACAGCATGGCAACCGTAACTCACAACGGCAAGCCTGTCAAGCATTGGATTTTTCCACATACTGAAGCTGTGTGCATGGGGCTTTAGTGACATTGCATTTAAAGAATTTTTAAAGTTGTATCTGTTTTGTATGTCATTCACATATGGGTTGACACAGTAATGACTCAATATCCATAAAGAGTTACTACTAACGTATCTGTTGGTGGTTAGAAGTGGATCTGAAGCTGTACGCGTTGAGGGTTCGGGTTCAGACTGACCTGCAGTGAGTTCCAGCAGCGTCCTGGCAGCTTTATGGATCTGCAGCCGGAGTCTGGCCTCACTCAGGTACAGCCAGACCATGCCCCCTTCTTGAGGCAGGGCAAAGGTGAGCAGACGCAGGGCAAAGGTGAGCAGAAGCCCCGCCTTGTTCCACGTCCTGAACTGAAACCCCACGGACACGCCGGCCGAGGAGGACGCCATCGTCCCTGGCAACTTGAGGAAGCTCTGGGGGCCGGGGAACGTCACGGCGACGGAAACTGGCTCAGCACAAGAGAAGGTCACATTGCCCTGAGAAAGAAACATGCAGAGTGGAGAGAGAGAGAGGGGAGGGACAGAAAAACTGATTACTAGAGAGATAAAACAACATAAAACATGAATATTAATCAGTTGCAGAGGGCGTGTCGATGTGACCTCTGTCACAATGATCTCATCAGCAAGTCTCCTTAAAGAGGACACTGGTATTACCATAATGATAACAGCAAGGCTTAGAATAAGATTAGGAAAGCAAACTGAAAATACGAAAGTCACTCAGCTTGGAGGTAAAATAGATAAAGAATGAAAATGAAAGAAAGAGAGCATACAGTAAGCCCAGTACTATAATATCTTGACATCTCTGTTACAGTCTATTGTTTTGAGTAGTGGTAATGACACCAGGTCCATTTCAAAGGCTGCAGCTGCAATATATTATAGTCCCGGCTGGGAATATCAGTCTGCTATCTTTATAATGCTCCGGAAACACAAATGACATCTAAAAGCCCTTTGTGGTGCAGTTAAAGTGATGTACAATAATTTATGTTGGAGTGGGCTGTGCTACTGTACAACACGAGGTAAAAAGTTACCTTAAATACCCTCAAAAGTCTCAGGACAACCGCACTGATACATTAGTCCTCTTTCACCCACACTCTTATTTTCATTGTATTAATGCCCCTTCACAGTGCCATATGAAGCACCATTTATTCTCTGTATGAAATTGGACCATAACTTTGTGACTAGTACCTTAAGAGCCACAGTACCAACATAAAATTGCCTTTATTACATCTTCAGTCATGCATGTGAAATCGCTGTACCTCTTCACCAAGTATTCCTGTTTTTTTTTTTTTCAGCTGCTTGAGCCTTTAGTGTAACGAGAGAGCATTTATTACTGCCTGCAGAAATGCTTCACAGCCTCTCTCTGATGAGTTTGCTCCACTCATCATGAACATCTGAATGTCCTAATGGCCAAGATGAGAAGGCATTAGTGAGAGTCTAACCACCATCTACACTCCCTTATTCATTTAGCACCAGCAGTATCCAGAACAACCAGTACCTGCACTCCCTGAGTGGTAAAGACAGTTTTTTACCACTATAATTGAATCCCAATTGGGACAAAGGGAATCTCACACATACATACACACAAAAACACACACCCACACACAGAAGGGGAATGCACACAAGGGTGACCAAAAAAACACAACTGAAAAAAAAAAGAATAATCCTGTTACTTAAAAAAAAATAAAACATAAGCAAAAAGAACACTCAAAGATATACATGCTGGTCTGTGGTTATGTATTCACTGTGTTTAATAGTTAGTCACAAAGTCACTAAAAACACCAAGCAGAATATTCCATCAGTGTTTCATTGACTAAAAGAATTTTATGGAGGCAGTCTGGCATATCTTGGTTTCAGTGGCCCTTGAGCCTGGAAGTCCAGAGTGTCAGAAGAACTTTACAGTAAAAACACACAGATGAAGTACACAGACATCACATCACTTTAAAACCTCAGCAGAGACTACTGTGCTTTACTATTGTCCGCACATTGAGTATGAGTATCATTGTGTTATTGTAACACATATATAACATATCAGTGTGCTCAAACACTAGTGCTAAAATTTCAATTTAATATGTTTTTCTATTTATTCTATTTTCCACTTCCCTTACTTTCATTACTGTTTCACCCAGTTAAGCAGCATTAGAGTGATTATGTGATGTGTATTTATATTATATTACCATCATCATTTAGGGTTTATGGGAATTCTTTCAGGCCACTTGTGGTTCCTGCTTTTATCATCATTATTTTAACCTCACTACTGTTTCCTTTTTTGTCTATCTTCCATTACCATGTTGCGAGCTGTAAGCTCAGTTGCAGGAAGCAGTAGTTACCAGAAAATTTACTTATTGGTCTTTCTGTTAATAATTGTTAGCTAAATTAACTTACCATTACAGTAACTCGGTGGTCTTTTTGTTTTACTAGTTCTATCAGGTTGAGGCCGTTGTACAGAAGGTTTTCCAGACAGCCATGGAAGTTCCTCCTGGAGGCGACTGTTTCTTGAGAATTGGGGCCCTGGATTGCTCCTACCCTCAGCTGTAATGTAGACAAAAAATAGAGACACATACAGCATGCACATTAAGTAATATAAATGTGTCATAATTAAATATTTAGTTATTGTACAGTTTTTGATGTCATATAAAGTGCAGGGTGTATTTGGATTACACAATAATGTCTTTACCTGTGTGTGGTTTATCCTACCTGTTTGATGTCCCAGTGGCTGAACTCTGCAGGGATTTGAACCCTCTCTGTGTGTTTGTCCACAGTGAGGTTAAGGTGAGAGCTGCGTCGCTCCACTGCTATATAATGCCAATGCTGATCATCTAACAGGCTGCCAAGAGAAGCGAGACGCCGGGGTTCAGAGGATGAACCTGGAAGAGAAGATGATGAGGAGAGATTAGTGATCAGGAAGCGGTGACAAGAGGGAGTAAAAAATGGGATCTTAGTGTAAAGATGCATTAGATGCATCAGATGACCTGGTGTGAAGAGAAGTGAACACCAGGCTAATAAAAGCTTCTTCATTGTGATTAAAATTGTAATTTTCTCAGTGTCCCACAGAGGGGAGCACACCGAGGTCAGCCTGCCTCATCTTATTAAGAACTATAGAATATTCGTATAGTAGAATCTGAGTATTGAAGCCAAATATGTGATCATCCCAAATATCAAACACAGCAGAGGAAACATGGTGAGACATCATTAATGATAGATGAGCACCAGCAGGTCCAAATTAGTGGATCCATTTCTGCAACCCCCAAAGTACTGGAAGAGAAACTTTGTATTTCTGCTGAGAGAAGAAACTGTAGAAAAAGCTGAATACAGTCGGCAATTAAAAATTTATTAGATCATCTTTAGGGAGAGGCAATTCCAACTTCAAAGAGAGAAACGGAGACAATTTGAAAGATGATGGACAAATGTATTTTTGATATTTCAGCCTATTTTGTGAGATGATTCGACTGCAGCTTTGATGAGAAAAACTGCTTCATCCAGAGAGAGAAAGTTAGGATGTGGACCTCACGATACAGACAAAGTCTGTCCTCTCAACACAGTTTGTGATGAGTTATTTGATTACAGTCGGATGAGTGGGAAAGAGACAGTGAAATCAATATGAGTGGAACAATGGCAAGACTTAAAAACAAATAAAATGTTGTTGAAGGTAGAGAAAAGACGGACAGCACGTTATGACAGAGGGTTTCATTGAATGGATGATTTGATTACCGGCTAAATTGTTGGAAAGAGAGAGCATGGATCAATATGAGAGGTCTGAGGGGCAAACAAATAGAAAATGAACTGATATTATTATATATAGCCCTATCTTTTCTTTTTTGGTCGCACTGGTCTTATTTTCTTTTATCTTGCATTGAGGTCATCAGAGAGATTATTTTTTGGACAAATCAGGAAAAATCTCTGTGGAATTTAAAAAAAGCCAAGGCTGTTAGTGAGCCCTTGAGCAAGATTGTGACATGAATTGTAACAGGGGGGTCACCAAAATCAATAGGTTACTTCCTGATGGAAGCATGAATGTGCACTGAAAATATTAACAAGCAATGGGTCAGCAGATATGAAAATTTGAAATATCAGGGTGATGGTAGCACAGAGAAAAGGTCATGAGGGTCTAAAAAAATCATTAAACATATTTTTCATCTTTGGAGAATGTGCAGAATAAATTTTAATGTGGTTTGTTTTTTAGGTTGGACATATTAGCTCACATTAAGTATTCAGAGCTCTACAAAAGCCCAGAAAATCAGACCGTGGTTGTGAATCTGTATGAGACTGTATGAGAAACGTCTGCTGCTGGAGAGGAGCAAGCACAGTTAGCAAAATCTTTGCATAAATAACAGATATAAAAAACAGCTTATAATAACTACAGCAGTTTGTATTAATGTCAAGGAGGGTTTTTCCCCCTCTAAAGTAAGTATTGTATCATATCCTGTCGGCAATATCATTACAGCTGTTCACTGTGACTCTGAATCTGATTACGCAGGAAGACCACGACAGCGCTTATCAGGAACTGCTGTCACTGTAATCAGCTCCACACATAATTTTCAAACTGTAAACACACTTTGGGAAAGCAAATATGTTCTCACACTGACAGGCCATTAAGATTTACACTCCTGTGTCTTTGTATTGCATAAGAAAGGTGGGCTGCTTGCAGGGTTGTCACTGTAAGCTAAATATGCAGTAAGTCTGCATGTTACAGTGTCTGCTGTTGAAGGTGATTTGGAGATTCTGTAAAATGTGTTGTAAGTATCCCAGTATGCACTTTACATCAGCCACAGGCAATGACAGAGGACATGCGCAAGACTGATAAAACTTCTGTTCGTTATTGTGTTAGTTTTTATATTTTTCTAACATCTTGCACTGGAGCAGGAACTACTAATCCTCAGCGTGTTTGTCCGAAATTTACTAAAGTAATGGGAGAAGTCTCTGCTGATTTATGAGCCAACAAAGATACAATGTACCAAACTGACATGATGAATGTGAAGCAGAGGGGAATGGTTTTGGATAGCAGACATAAATCTTGTTAAACCACCATGTTTCAGCTGTTTGGATAGCAGAATTAGTTAGTAATTAATTAGAGCAAAATATCTGCTGTTGGAAGCTTCCGTAAATTGGTTTATGAACTAGAATCCCTAAAAATATTAGTAAGAAAAGATCAGCAAACTAAGATGATTTGATTTGATGATAACACCAACAGAAAAGAGAGAGAAAAAACACTTCCAAGTCCCTTATTTTGAGACTCAAATGGTCTTTAAACAAAGCATCTCACTGTAAAAGAGATGGTGGATAAATAACACAATGAAAGTGACACAAATCAAAACTCAAAAGTCTGAAGTGATGGTGTACAGTGTAATGGGAAATTATAGATTCCCAAAGTGGGTGATCTGACTCTGTCATGTCTGAAAACTGTGGAGTCCAATCTGCCGGTTCTGCAACAGCAACAGTTTACATTTAAAAAAAAAACATCCGGTTATAACTGTTTCCTCTGTTATCCAGGACAGAGATGCTGTTTCTGTGCAGGGCTGTTACTAAGAGTTGCCTCATAAAGCAAAATACATCTGTTTCATGGGGGGGGGGCAGACCTGGATGTGTTAGTGTTAACAGAGCAGAGCGGACCATGGATGAGCTCAGGGTCATTGCACACAGCACATGACCTAAATTACACAATCTGTAACCTAAAAAGGCTGTGTAAAGATAAAGACAGAGGATGGGAAGGAAATAGAGGGGAAGAAAAGATTCCCCTGATTGGAAAGATTGGAAGGAAGCCAGAGACAGAAATAATAGAGGGAAAGAATGATGAAAGCCACCTAAGGAAAAAAGATTTTAAAAAAGGGTTGAGAACTGTAAGAAAAGTAAAAACAAAGCCTGTTTTTTTGTTGTTTTCAGAAGCAGAGTGCCTCTTATTCTCCCTCATTTCAATGGACACCTTTAATTTCCTCTTACTGAGCTGCAGTCTCTCTTTACAGTGATGCAGTCTCCTTGTAAAGTGACATAGTCTTATAATAATGACACTAAGGTGATTTAGCCTTTAAAGTCACAGTGGCAGTTAGAGTGTCTATATCTTTTGAAATGTGATATAATATGTAGCCAGGATTTAGTTATGTAGTGATTCAAATCAAATCTTTCAGGTTTGATTAGATCGCTCACACATGAGCACGGCCTAATATGGAACATGCGGGGAGGTAAGAAGCTGTGGTGAAAGACTGAGTAAGATCAGCAGGAGGAGAACGAGGGAGGAATTAATAAATTACAGCTAAAATGTAAACCAAATATCCAAACACACATCTCTACCTCAAGTCACTGGTCTGCTAGCTACTAAAACTCGGTATATTTAGTGATGCATTAATATGTACATCACTTTGATATTGCAGCTTGTAAAAGTGAGACTATAATATCCCTTACTTTATATACTGCTGGGTACCTAAGTCTATAATAATATATCACAATTTTTGATGAATTCTATTTTGTTATTAGTCTAATCTGCAAAATAACTAGTAACTAATGTCAAATAAATATAGTAGTATAGTATAGTATAGAACAATATTAATTGTAGTGGCATAGAAGTATAAAGTAGCATAAAATGGAAATAGTCAGGTGAAGCACAAGTAAACCAAAACTGTACTCAAGTACAATACTTGTAGTTACATTCCATCACTGTGGATGGGGTTATCTCATTGACCCAAATCATATCTGATTTCATACATTTCTGTATACAGCACACAAGTCCAAGATTTCTAAAAGAAATCAATTCAAAAATCAAGAATTGCCCCGTCTTTGTAGAAGTTGGAGCCAGATGGAGAAAAGGATGGGTGAAAGATGGATGTATGAAGAAAGATAAGGATGTCAGAGAGGTAGACAGAGTGAAAGATGAAAAGAAAGATTAGGGGATGTAGGAAGGAGTGTTTTGGGAGATGTAAAATGAAGAAAAAGAAGTTGCAGGAGGTAAAGAGAAACAAATGGTAAAGGGGGTTAGAGATGGATGGAAGGATGGATTGATCGAGGGATATAGAAAATATTTCAGCAGCCAGATGGGGTTCCTGATGAGAGGTGAGCCATATGGTGATGATTCAGCATGGCAGCCTGACAACCTCTGGTTTAACCCCGTTTACACACACACACATACACACACACACACGCACACACACACCCTCTGTACAGACTGTAAGCCATGTATCAAGTCTTGCAGAGTCCGGCCCTAACACATGCTACAGTGAACAGGGACCATCCATCATGGCTGTAACTAGACAGAGATGCAGCAGCATAGCGCGAGCCAAGATTTAAACCAATCAGGCAGCAGCGTGCGTGTCGTCCATCTCACCCAACCACAACCAATCTAAAGTTATTTTAGAGAGTTTATATTGTCCTCCACCTTATACAGATGTTCTGTACCAGTAAGTCCACAAAGTGACTCACAAATTACATGTGAAAATGTGTTCTTGTTCAAGATTTTGACTGGAAACACCTGTTTATATTTATGTGGGATGATGGAAACGCCATGTCCCTTGTCAGAAGAAATGTGTTTACCTGTTACATTTGAATTTTTACTGGAGATGCTAACAATATAATCTTCTTAAGCCTGCCATTTTATCCAGTAAAGGTCGGTTTGGTCATTGTATATCTCACTAACATTCTGCAGATAAACCTGGTATTTATAGAGAATTCTGTGTTATACTTCAATGTAGTAGATATCAGTATCAGTAGATATCTGGTGTGTTGTACCTTGTCTGAGCTGCAGCAGTAGCAGCTTTCCTCTCTCTAACTCCAGACTCAGGCTGAGTCCTCCCTCTCCCTCTGCGTGCAGCAGTGTCCCAGAATTCCTCAGGGTTTTAAACTTCACAGAGACGACATCTCTGGACGACCGCCTCGGCCCGGGACTCAACCTGTACTCCAGACTGCTGCTGCCGTCCAAACTCACAACATCAGAGGCTGAAAGACAAAACACAGACAGAAGAGTCAAGACTTATGGTCATATCAGTCCTGGTCACTAAACCACGCACAAAAAGAAGTCCGTGCACAACAAATGCTGAGGAGAAATCTCTCAGGGAGAACTGAATGTGTATTCTTTTTAATCAATAACATGTAGAACCTGCTCTAGTTGGGAATTTGGGCTAAGCTGTGTGGCTAAATACAGAGTTTTGACTCCAAAATCATTTCAATTTCAGTTAATTAGATTTGTCTAGTATTGTTTTCTTGCACTGGCTGGCACTAGTATCTATGTTTTAATTGTTGTATCGACTTTCCTCCTGTAGCTGCCTCTTGGCCAGGTCTTCATTGTAAATGAGAATTTGTACTCAAAATACCAATTTTTAAACAAAAAAGACCTACAGTATGTTTAGGGATGGGATAAAGAATCACTGAGGTTTTAATGTGTGTGAAATGTGCTCATCCTAGCATTTTTTGAGTGGGAAAATTAAACCAAAGGCTCTTTCACAAAGAAAGCTGGATCATTTGCATATTGCATGCAAAACTATATCATGTGATGAGAAATGTTCAGCCATCATAATGAATGACGTCACACAAAGTAACAGCTACATGGCACGTTGAATCACTTCATTGTTTACATCTGGCAGCAAACTGTGGTCTTCTTTGCTCTTTGAGTTCACACTCTAGTGCTTGGTACATGGTCCAAATTACAATAAAACATTTTTTTTTGCTTACAAGGCCCAAGAAGGTGCACATGTGCTGGCACTGGTACACATTTAGCCTACAGCCATTGATGGAAAATTGTTTAACCAACATTATTTCCATGATTATTTATTCGGCCCCAAATGGTACAGGTAACATAGGTACTTTGGTAATGAATTAAATGTATTTAATATGAATATTGTATTGTTCAAATTTCCATTGAACTGAATTGAATATTTAATTTGTTTTCAACAAAAATATCTGTTCTTGTAATAGCCTATAATATCCGTTCAAAGTGACTTCATTGTCAAAATTTGTTATGGTTACAAATGGTTATTTTATTGTAATTTTCACAGTATATAGAGATTTTACAGCATTTTACATACATGAAATGAAACTTGACCTCTGCATTGGACTTATCCTAAATACATTACTATATACATTAGGAGCAGTGGGCAGCCAAGTGCTTCCCAAGCCAAGTCCCTACACCCTGAGCTACTGCAGCAGTGACTTAATTCATAAAACACAACGTGAATAGAAACCAAAACAACTATAGTTAGGGCTAGTTTGACACAGAGTCCGTCTCTGTGGATTTTATGACTGTATATTAAAGATCTATGCAGGCCAGAGAGTCTGGGCTGGTCTCTCCCTTGTCCACTGAAATATCAACTTGCAATAAGAAGCATGGTGGAAGGACATGCAGGGCTTGCATCTCCAAGATGTATTCCTCTTGCGAAACTTTGTTGAAATAATAGCGGGAAAACTTAACTCTTAAACTCTTAAATGTGAGTCGCAGTAGATGTTTTTCATATTTATTTATGGAGCACTCTATATAAAAAAGACCTTTAATCTACTGTAATCAAATTAAAGTGACAGCAGATGTTTTTATATTCAAAGTAAGAAACACTGTGACAGGAGGTGTGATTATGTATTAATTTTTACTTTAAAAGCAAAGGGTGGCTTGATAAATTCTGTTATATTTCCCCCATGGGAGTAGCAGAAATATTGAAAATCTCTTGTGAAACAAGAAAAACAGAAAATATAATGATTATGTGGGTACAAACACAACTTGATGTAGCTTTTATTTTCATTGTGGTAGAGTTAATACAGCAAATCTTGAAATATGACTAAATATGTTTTCCTGGTTAAGTGTGAAACAAGTGTGAAACATGATGGTTGTCAGTGTAGAGGGTATGAAATAAAATGAAAAAACAAACATAATAAGAAAATACGTGGTGATGTGTTGATGTATATGGTGTAAAAACAGAATGTAAACCAATACACCGCATGCTTAAAATAACAAGGTTATACAGGGTGCAAACTGTGAAACGAGAAAACATAAGGCACTTTATATATTATAAAGCAATCAGCAGATACAGTACATCGTTATTATGGTTGAGTGGGGGTGAAAACAATCTGGAAACCAATTAAAAGTCAGCCAGATGAAGGAGAAAGTTCCTGCACACAAGCTCACAAACAATTTCCTAGAAGCCTATCTTCAACATTATAATGTATTATTTTGGATTAGCCTTTATATATATATATATACGACTGTACTTAAGAACTATTTTAAGATACTTGTACTTTCCATTTTTGGCTACTTTCCTCTTCTACTCTACTTTCTTCTTTAGTACATTTATGAGATTGCTGTGTGACTTTGTAGATTCATACTTTGCATAGTTCAAACACAAAAATCTTCATTTACCATTTTACCAAGTGATTTGTGTCTGTTTTTGAGTCCTTAAAACAAAAGCAAAACTCTGTCATTGCGGGGAGATAATTTCAACCTGTTTTAATGGAAGTAAACTAATTTAAATTTTCTAGAGTAAGAGGACTTTTATAGTACATTTTGATCTAATAACTTAAATATAAGGTGCCCCAGAGCAAGTTAGATGTGCAGTCTGCATTGCTATGGTGACATATATGTAGACACCCCCTTAAAATGAGCCGACATCTGTCCGCTCCTAAAACCCTGGACAGTCCAGTCAGGCTGGTAAAAAAGAAAAGACTTACTGTAGGGACATCCGTAGGTCTCCAGTCGGAGTCCGATCCTCCCGCTGGGGTTCCAGTCCAGAGGAATGAGCCGGAGGAAGCGAGCCATAGCCGGCTGCTGCAGCTTGTACTGAACCACGCTGTCTGCATTAGTGTTACCTGGAAAAGACTGAAAATACACAAACATCATGAAAACATGCAAAGTGATGACATTTAACTTTTATACACACACAAAGAGAGAGAAGAGTTTATTTAAGCTTCCAGACAAACACAGCATTGTGTTTCTATCCATTACTGTAATGTATATATGTGTATGTGTATGTGTGTGTATATGTAATAATCATAAACATTTTTCAATCATTTTTCAAACATTCTTTGGCTCCAGCAACTTAAGACCCTGGATTGTGATAATAATGAACTGATAACTAGATGAAATTGATAATAATTGTTAGTTTCAGCCTGTGTCATTTCTAGTGAATTCCTGGGAATATTTACATCTGCCGCCACCATATAGTTGGTATAAGTATGGGTGCACTTACAGTGTGTAAATACTCTCTCACTATTGCTGGCATTTTAAAAATCATAGCTGATGTTATTCTTCTTTGTTAACAATGAAAGTGTCTGCAAAAGAGTGCACTGATTGTTTGTCTCCTTTCTGACTCTAGGCTGAATGCCTGACGAATCGCTCTTTTCATCTCTTTCCATCTCTCCCATCTGGCTATCTATCCTAATTACATCCCTCCCTTGAAGTTGACATGCAGGTTAACTGGCTCTCCCACTGCTGAATAAAAGCTTATACACACAATTAACTTATTAATTCCTCTGTAATCATGAGAGACTGGAGTTGGATCTCCTCATATGATGAAAAGAGACGTTGTATTGTGTAACTTTATAGGCCTATAATTGCATATTTTATGTGTGTCTGTGTGTGTGTATTTGTGTCTGCATCCTGATTATGTTTTATTACAATCATCAGCAAATATCTGTGTGTGATTATACATTATCTACCATATATGTGTGAATATACTGTACAGCTGTGAGGCGTCAATTAGACTCATGGGTCATGTGCCAGCTTTTTTTAAACCAATCAGCTGAACACAGCTTTTTCTTCAAAGCTGATGAACCAGAAGAGCTGTCAGCTCAGCAAATGACTTTGTGGAGAGGACAACATCCCATTTATGTTTAGAAATATGACCTGAGGAGGAGACAAAGACCCAGCTAAATATATCTCACAATGTTCATACTGTTCCTTAAACATCCATATTGTTTCAGCGTACAGTAAATCAGTAAATACACACGCCAGATGAGGAAGGTGAGAATGTCTTGTATTTATTCTGTTAGATTTCAAAGTTGTCAAGTATTAGTCCTCTCTTCAGTCTTTCCCCATCAAAGTACAGAAACAAAACAATGAAAGAGAGAACACTTCCACTCCACTGGTCTTCAGCTCTCTAAGCTAAAAGCAGAAGTTTAACAGGAAATATTTTGTTGTTGATCCAACAGCTCTCAACATTCTCCTCTGATAGACTCTGTAAGCTCGACTGACTAACACACACTAGTTGAGAGACACTTTGAAATGTGACTGCGCTCAGTTTACGTAGTGTCAAGTGTCACATCAACAAGTTTTCAAGCCGTGAGAATCATCCTCTGTTCTCTCAGAGAAGATCCTCAGTGCTGAGATTAGCTGGATTCCCTCCATATGAGGAAATTGCCTCGGCTCTACTTCTAATCAAAAGCTCCTCTCTGCACCACAGTAACAAATGTGCTTTTACCCTACACAATCGCTTTCAGTGGGTTAAGTGCATGTTTTTCTATATTTATTGCACTTTGATTTGATATACGGTTCATGAGAAGTATGCAGGTGAGAAACTCAAACAGATCAGCCTCTCTGTGCTGACAGGATTTGTTTGTTTTCTACACAAACAAGATCAAAATTACTTAGTATTCCTGTGACAGTATACTGAACCATGTACCATCACCACAGTGAGACAAATACAAGTCCAACACGACACTTGTGCAATGGGAAAAACACTGAAGGGGAGTGCTGTGTCTACCAGGAGGTGGGAGGTGACGCCTCACTGCCTCTGCTGTCCATCTGACTGATTTCTTCATTAATCAGTTCTACAGAGACGAGCTGAGTGAGTAACATTAAAGTAAACACAGCTTTAGTATGTTTTTATTTAACCCGAAGACTGCAGCAGGTATCTTCATTTGTTCCTGAAGTTAAACCAGAGAAAAGGCACATGGCGAAGTATTTGCTCAGCCCTGCTGGTTAATAAGGTTCTGGGACGATGTTCAAACATGTGCATGTGATGTTGTCATTGTTATCTATCTAGCTAGCTGAATTGAAATATCCTTGCCTTAAATTTGACACTAAATTAGCAACAAAATGACAAAATAAATTCACACTAACTTACATTTCGTCACTTTGTGTGCATCACCTCTGATTTGAAGAGACCTTATTGGGATTGGCAGCCAGAAAGCTAACAAGATGCAGAGGCAGTCTAATTAAATGAAAAGTTTGATGTTTTGAGGAATATGCTTTGTTCTCTTGCTGAGAGTTAGATGAAAGGACTGATGACACTCTTATGACTGTATGGTAAACTACTGCCAGTAGCTGGGTAACTTAGCCTAGTATTAGGACTGTAAATTGGTAAAAGCACCTCTAAAGCTTACTGCTCAGCATGTTACTGTATATTTTGATTGTTTAGCCTGTACAAAAAACAAGAAATTCAACACATGACACACAATGAACAGCAAATTGTTATCTTTACATTTTGGTTTCAACTGTTCCTTTAATATCTAATAAAACTAAACGTGCAATAAAAGGCATCAAGAATAACAAACTGTATACATCTGTCTTCCATTTGTTCTGACTCCATACTATTCCTGAAATTGGTTCAGTGGACACACTGGAATTTTTCCTCATTGATTTTAGTGCTTCAGGCTACACCGCCTGGCCTCATTCAGGAAAGTCACGCTTGGCTGCCTCTCTGTCCCGCTCTGTGTCCATCAACAGCAGCTTAAGTGTTTTGGCAACAGGTCCGCACAGTCAGCAGAGATCTTTCATTGGTTCATCCATTATTAATGAAGAGTCAAAGGCTCCTGATGACTGTGATTATCTCCTCAGGATGGACTGATCCCTGCAGACCAACACTGCTAAACACCATACCCACTGTAAATATGACTGTGGTAGCCCAGGAAAATGAGCTGTAATGAACCCGAGCAGTGTTCATTTCCAAATCTGTTACCTGATACTGTATACAGGACTCTTTATGCACTAGTCCAACAGTACTTAGGGTGGTACTGTCTGGAACATCTAACTTGCTTAGCCTGTTGCCACTGCAACCCAGCCCCAGATAGGTGTCAGAAAACATAGGGTTGGATGTAAGTTAAAACACACGTAGACATATGTATTTTGACAATTGTTTGTGTATTTGGTTAGTTTGAGAGAGTTTTACTGAGCCATAGCTATGTGCTGCTTATCAGAAAAAGTTGAGAATGTGAGAATTGTGTGTCAGAGAAATACGGTAAATATATCTCCAGGGAAAGTCATTATACTGTACGTATGTTTATTTGAAATAGTTTTAAGTACTTGTTAAACACAAATTCGAGACGTCATTCTTGGGTTTGTCATTGTTTTGTGCCACCTGTTTTGAATGCCAACGATAATTTGATGCCTTCTTGGACATATTTGTGATTTACGAGCATATAAAGAAACTTTACTTAATTTTATATCATTGTACTGTTTGGCACAGTCTATTCTAGTCTAGTTGTTGAACAACACCCATATTGGACTGTGTTTAGATGGACAACTGAGTAAGAAAAAAACAATGTTCATAGATTTCAAGAAAACAACTGCTTTGGCACAGCAGAGGCTCTCGAGCAGAGGCTTCCAACAGGAAAAGCATGTTTGTTCACCAATTTTTTTTTTTTAATTTAGGCACTAGACTATGTTGTTTTCTGCGTGAGCGCCCATTTGATGTCCTGCTTGTGCTGTATCCAACAACACTGACTGCAATAATCAGACTTACAGATTTACATCGGTATCCCTGTTCTCTCTGTTATACTATTTGTTACAATAAACTGTTTTGATACTGTTTACTGCAGTATGGACTCACCCCTATGCTCTCCTCCTGTCTGTACTGTTTCCAGTTGTGTCCCGTGTCGCTGAACATCAGCAGGTACGACGTCAGCCAATCAGAGCTGCCGTAGCGGCCTTGAGTAGCGACAGCAGTGATCTTGGTGCGCTCACCCAGGTCGACCTCCAACCACTGATACCTGTCTGAGGTGAGAGGGGACCAACCTCCAGCTCCTGCAGGGAGAGAGAAAATTAAAGAAAGGGTTGATTTATTACATTTCAGCCTACAAGGTAAAATATGTAATAAGCCTTTTAGTCACCAGTGTGTGTGTGTGTGTGGAATACATTGCTTGACCTTTAAGTCTCACATAAAATCACATTTTGTGTCAGAGCCAAAAAAGAAGCAAATTTTTGTGAAACACATACAACCGTTTAAACCCATTTCAGTGCAATAATTGAACACAGTGTCTGTATTTCTCCTATTGTGCTGAATGATTGATTTTATTCCAAGACACTGCAGGACTTTTTTAACGCAGGGAATTAAACTTACTGCTGCGTATTACACAAAATCTTCTCTAATAGCCATTTTAGACACAGTACACGATGGAGTCTATTTGTCTTCATAAATCAAAAGAAGACATTCAACAGAATGGAACTTAATTTCTGAACCTGCAGCCTCCACAGGTTTTCATGCAGGTTTGACATTTTTCTTTGGACTGAGATTAGTTTTCCTTTAAGATAATGCAAAGATGTTCTGACTGACGGGCTTTCTTTTTAACTGACTTTCTCACCACACAAAAATGCACCATTATGACTTCTAACCCGTAATCATTATACAATAATGGATTGCATAATGGGATACAATGTAGCCCCCCCACCTTGCTACTCACACAGAACATTTATAATTAATACAAAGATAATACATATAAAATAATAGTTTTAAAAAAAGTAACATCTGTTATTAAATTGAACAATGAATTAGGTTGCTGTTTAATAAGGCTGTTTTTATTACTAAAGCACACAAATTAATAAATTAAATCAAATCTTGACCGACGATTAGCAAAGTCATTGTAATTCATCTGGTTGGGGACATGAATTTCTCAGTCTGGACCAGAAGAACTGTGGTCATTTTAGGTTTTCATGATTTTAAACAGTGAAGCGTTCTCATGGCGAGATCCGATACTTGCATCTTCTTTGACCTCATAGCTGAAATTTTTCATAGGATTTAGTTCATGACAAATAATTTTTACAGTATACATAATTGTGTAGCACCAAATTACATTTTCAAAACAAAACCTCATCAATGAGAGGCTGCGGTGCATTGATTTGTTGCACAGAATACCAGACCATCTGCATACTTACCCAGTATAGCATTGCTAAGAGGCTGTGGCATGATCTATTGATTAGTTTTACAGTTTGCTTGCAAATCTGGATCCTTTGCTATATAGAATATCATCAATAGGAGAATGTGGTGCCAAGCATTGATTAGTTTTACAGTAGTTGTACTCTTTCCCATGTTACATCACCAATAGAGCAGCATTGTAACATATTGATCAGTTCTAGGTCAATAGACTGAGAATATAAAAGGGGGTTTGGTGAAATATGCTGATATGTTTTTAGAAAAAGCTGTATTTTTTCCCAATAGGCTGGTAGCATTTCCTATGTTTTGTATTGTCTAGTTGCACATTATACAAGTAACAAAGTGTCTTATCCAAAAACACTTTAATAACTTTAATTGTGGTGTTATTGATAAGCCGCATACAGGCTCATTGTCATTAAATTTGTCTTTGTTTTTAGATACAGAGACAACTGCTACAAGAGAAAGAAGGAGCCAGAATGTGTGTGTGTGTTTGTGTGTGTTAGAAAGTGCTTTGTCAGGCCACACCTCAGAGCTCAAACGCCAGAGAGCTAAGCTCCAGAGCATCCACACTACAGCGACATTACTGACGACCTAAGGGCACTGTCAAGAAAGTTGAGATCCCTGATCCGCTAAAACCAGCCGAATGGTGGAAAGCAAAGGACTTAGGACAAGACTTAGGACAAAGGACTTGAGAATTTATTTTGAGAGAACATATTATTTGTAAGAATTAATTAATATTAATTAAAATTTAATTTAATTAAAATATAAGTTAACATTCATATTCATAAAACTGTTAATATGTTAAATATATAGTTAAAAGGAGAACTGCATTTCATTTGATTTGATTTGGAGTTACATTGAAAATGGACTTCATTACCCAGGATGCTCTAGGAGAAAAGGGTGAACATGATGTGATGACATCAGTTTTGTGGCTGGAAGCTATGCTGTACCTCTCGTTTAGTTAGCACACGTTATATGTATGTTTTTCTTGGCCCTTTCTTTACTCACTAAAGGACGTCTGAATAGAATTATCAGTCTTGCTTTGTCATTTTTAGTTATAAGCTGATTCTGCTACAGAAATGTTGAGTAACTAGATAGAAGCTAGGCATGTCTCCTCGCCATCAGCTTAAACAGTCCTCTGCTGAGACCTGGCAGGGTAATATCCACAGGCTAGAAGATCGGACCCTTTGAACACACACACACGCCCGCTCTCTCGCTTCAGTTGAAATGGATGAAATATGTCAGTAACAGTTAAGTTTATCCCTCCTTTAATTGTTCACTGCAGCCAATACTTCTACTTTCAAGGACAGCTGCTGCTGTTTTCAGCTCTAAACTTCCTTGTTCAAACGAAACAAGCCTTGGCACTGCAGTTGCTTTTCTTTTTTCAGGTTTAAGAAGGAAGTAGAATTACCGCCCTGTGGTTGAATGCCTCCGCCAACCAGTCAAGTTTCAGTTTATATCCATGTCTGTCCAGACAGTGAATACATGAAGTATAGTAAATAAAAGGTGTAAAATGTACATCTTCTGGCTAAATGGGTTGAAATAGAATTAGTTGGAAAGATGAAATCCCACATTGTGCTAGTTGTCATCTAACTCATTGTGTCATCCTAGTCAATGTGTGTGTGTTTGTGTGAAATCTGGAATCAGCCTGTTCATTCTTAAATTATGGATAAAAACCTATTTTGAGGTCACAATGACCTTTGAATCAAAAGTGTCACCAATACATTGTGTGACTAGCTGTGATATTTGTACATCATATCACAAGAATGGGACGGATGGGTGTACAACCTGAAAACATAATGCCTACAGCCACAACTGTCGCCAGCATGGAGGCATAAAAACGATTAAAAGGACCAATTTTCCAATTTCCAATTTCCATTTTCCAATTTCCAATTTACAATTTACAATTTCCATTTCAGAATTCAGAAAGTCGATTGAGGCAAAGACACAAGACACAGACACAGATTACAAGCACAACGAGCACAACAAGGAAGACAAGGAAGGTGACTCATAAGAAGAAAAACCTCAGGTTTCTCTTCCACTGAAATGGAAATGAAACCAGAGTAACAGTTTAGTGACAGAGGCTTTAGTACTTGAAGATATCTGAGGTTGTTACAGCTGACTTCACATCTGTCAAACGATTCAGCTAATACCACATCAAACTGTCCACAGTAAGGTATTTTTTTGTACATTTCTCAGTTTATCAGCTATGTTCAAAAGAACGGCACTTTAAATTGTATTCATTGTCAGACATATCGGACATGGAGAACAGCAACAGCTCATGTTCCAATGTATATCTCTTTAAATCTTACAGATGTCTGATTATATGACCATCGTTTTCTTTGACCTGGAGACCACTGGATTAGGTAACACTGGCTTTAAATCTGTTTGTCTGCTTATAAATACTTCAGTCACAATATCATTTAATTTACCTTTGTTTTATAGTAGTCCGTTTTTATAATGGCCACCTTTTTAGTGTAGTTTTTCAGAGCTTTCAGCCACATCCTATTTCCTTCATCCCTAAGAATATTTTATAATTTATTAATTATGTTCTAAAAATGTATTTTATATTTATACTCAATTATTTTTAACCAGTGTTGGAAGAAGTACTTATACTTTAGCAAAAATACCATTGTCACTGTGTAAAAGTACTCTGTTCTAACGTAAGTAAAAGTACAATAACATCAAATCATACTTAAAGTACCAATAGTAAAAGTGTTCATTAAGCAGAATTAAGAATAATTTCCAAATAATTTATATAAATGGACTGTGATTAGTTATGTATTAATGTGTGAGCAGCAGTAATGTTGGTAAAGGTGGGGCTAATTTCAGATTTTTATATACCTCAGTTTAGCTTAATCCATAATAATAAATCACGATTCATTCATATCTTCATATATTTGATTTATATGTTGTTGGTTTTTTTTGTTAGTTTTTTTTTAAATACAACTGATATTAGCCAGCGTCATTATTTAATAATTTGATCAAAAAATTGACTCATTGTTAGACTTTGATTATGACTCAGAATGTGTCTGCGCTTAACCACAAGCATCAGAGATGTTCTTCCTGTGTCGGGCACAGGATGCCTCTGCTACTTGACAGATTTAATTATCAGATTATACACAGAAGACAAAATGTTAACTACAGACCCCTTTCAGAGCTTGGCAAGAATTTTCTATATTTTCAGACCAAATGATAAATCAATAAATTGAGAAAACAAAGTAACAGATTAATCAATAATGGACAAAAAAATCATTTGTTCCAGCCCTGGTTGTTTTAAAATTACCCTTCCTGTCAAAGGACAGGGTGTGGAATCTTTGAAGCATCTGAGAATGTGAATCTGTGGTTTTGACTTTGTGAGCGTTGTATAGTTAAAAAGATTAAGCGGCTACACTCATTACCATCACACATTTAGCAGGAAGTCATGACAGAAAACTATTTGTGTATTGTACTCTTTGTGTTGCAACATCTGTCTTAGAGCACATCAGCTTTCTGTCATGTTTGTCACCTTTGTCATGTTTGTCTGCATCTCATAGCCTTCATCAGTGTACGGGCCGGGAAATAAAAAGTCTTTATAGTTCTGAAGAAGCATACTGGCAGCTTTGTCATGAAGATGGATTAGTTGTTATCGCTTATTTGGTTTCTTGCTGAGAGTTACATGAGAAGATTAATGCAGTCCTCTAGTTTGTCCTGTAAATTTAAAGCTACAGCTAGTTTGGTTAGCTTAGCTTAGCCCGAAGAATGGAAACTAGGGAAGCTAGCTAGCTAAACAGTCCAGCACATAACCCACAATAAAACCACAACATTTTTACACTTCAGTTTTTGTATGAATTAAACAAATGAGCTATAAGGTAGTAAGTAGGGAGCTTTAAAGGTGCGGATAGGTGGAGCAGCAGCACATAAACTTACATCACCTTCACAATTGCTGACAAAAATACAATGGTTTAATAATATTTCAATATTGTAACTTACATTTATTTATATTTTCTTATTCCCCTTTATCCACACCATCTCAACTTTCAGACAACGGCTGTGACATCATCCAGTTGTCGGCCATCTGTGCAGATAAAGATTTTAACGTCTTCACCATCCCCCGCTGTGAAATCTCTGAGAAAGCCGAAGAAGTCACAGGTTTCACTGTCAGTTATGGCAGACTGTTTCGCCACGGGTCTCCGGTTCAACCCCTCCCTATCCCTCTTTATAAAGCTCTCACCTCCTTCATTAAATACCTTCGCTCTTTTGGCCGCCCTGTGGTGCTGGCGGCCCACAATGCAAAAAGGTTTGATGCACGTGTGCTCACCAGAGTGCTGCAAGAGTTCTCCCTCCAGGATAAGTTCGACAAGGTGGTGTATGAGTTTCTAGATACCTTACTGCTAAGCAGGAAATGCTTTACTTATCTCTACAGACACTCTCTGATGTCCCTGGCCGACTTTTTTCTGGGAGAGACCTACGACGCCCATAACGCTTTAGAGAAGGCCAGGGTGCTGGAGCAGCTGTTCGACTTATGGAGTAGAAGAATTCATATCGCAAGATCGACCTTCAAGACGTACGAATTGTTTTAAAAAAACTACAGAAAAAACAAAGAGTCAATCTGGCCCAAAAAATAATATTTTATTTTAAAATTAACCTTTTTTATATTATTATTACCATTATATTTCCTCATATTTTGGACCTTCAGAAACAAATTACGGGTACAAATTCTTGTGATTGAAGACAAATAATGCATGTTACACCCCAAACTCATGGATATATAATGTTCATTCTGTATAATGATGTTGTACTCTTTTGTTATTCAGTAAAACGAAACACTTCATCTTCAAGATTTTTCTCCAAGTTTGGTATTTTGATTACGATTATCTGAGCCCTTTATTTATGTGGTGAACTCATACTAGTTTCTCCTCACCTTGAATGTGGGTAGTGCAAATGTAAAATAACAGTTTCTGTATTCCCTTTTTTAGCAGTGAAAATGTGAGTGTCCGTCTGGTAGCTGGTGGAGCCTGATCTTTAAAGAGCTAAAGGCCAAAGCTAATAAG